CCGTGTGAGTCTGGGCTCAAAGCCTGCCCTTTACTCGCCTGCGGCCTTGGGCCATTCACAGGACCCCTCTGGGCCTCAGTTTCCTCATCTGCGAAGTGGGCAGGATGATCAGTTGCTGCGATGATCCTGTCAGACGAGCCACGGGAAGCCTGTGTCACAGGCCTGGCCTGCAAAGAGCCAGGGGACAGAGCCAGTCTCATGCTGCTCCGGGTGACCCCAGGCAGACCTGGGGGTCAAGGTCAGGGCTCTGGGGCCTGAGATACCTGGGTTCTGGGTCTGGCTGTGCCACTCACCCCTTGTGCAATGTCGGGAATTGATGACACCTCTCTCAGCCCCAATTTTGTGATCTGGGAAATGGGCATCTGAACTCCGTGGGGATGTGGTGACGCCCTGAGAGGCTGCGTAGCTCCGTGGCCAGGACGGTGCAGGCTCGGGGCCTGGTGTTGCCTGGGGCAGCACCTTCCTCCCCGGCCCCCAGGCCGGGTTTCTCTATGGGTGGGGTCCTCTCCACGAGTCCCCGCAAGGTGGGTGTAAGCCTTCAGGCCTCTCCTGTCCAGCACCTGCTCCGCTGGGAATCTGGATGTCAGGAGCCCCAGGCACCAGCTTCAGGCCCCATAGGTTGGTCCCCAGGGTGGGGATGGTGGTCCATAGCCTCATTGTCCTGAAATTCAGCCGGCAGGATGAAATAGGGTGGCTTTAGCTCATTGTAAATTCTTGACCAAAGGTGGACACTGTAGCTGTTGTCTGTGCCCCTTGGGACGGGACACATTGATCCCGTGCGGAGGGCAGAGGTCCTGACGTCCTGATTATCATCAGCTGCCTCGACTTGTCGCCAAACACAGAGAAGGCTTCAGTGGGTGTCTGCTATTATTTTTGTTGTTATTTTGTTTTGCTAGCATCTTGTCCAGGAAGCATTTATCAGATGCCTGAGTTGTGGGCAAACCCTCAGCCCTGGAGTTTATTATCATTATCAGCTGCTTGATCCTGGGCAGCACGGTCCTCCTGCCCAGTCTTAGATTCCCATTCCATAGGATGGGATCATCCCTGTGACAGCATTCTAGGCTTTTCTGGAAGGCCAACCTTGAGCCGGGTAGCTTGGTACAGAGTTGATGGCAAAGGCAATGGATGGGGGTGGTTTTGTTCCAGGTCCAGCAAATTGTCCCTCGTGGGGCAGGTCCACAAGTGTCCCTGTTTGCACTGTCTCCAGAGGTTCGGGTGACACATCACTACTTTTTGGAGAAGAGGGAGAGACAGAGGGAACCCAGGCTGGGGGCTGGGAGGTCAGGGCCTGCAGGAATTCTCCAGGGTCAGAATCCTGGGCCCCCGCTGACGGCCTGGTGTGACTCAGGGCAAGTAATGGTGCCTGAGCCGGAAAGTGTTCTCGTCTGTAATTCAGTGTCTGCCTTCTGAGGTTGTGCTGAGGACTTGATGACGTCCTGCTTAGAGAAGGCTGTGTATTAGTTATCTCTTATACACAGGACCCAGGGACAGTTCCACTGGATTATGCTGGCTCAGGGTGTCTCAGGCTGCTACAGTCAGAGGTCGACCAGGGAAGCAGATGCTTGAAGGCTTGACTGAATCTTCAGAATCAACCCCCAAGGCAGCTCGGTCTCCTGGCTGATGGCAGGAGGCCTCAGCTCCTCAGCACATAGCTCTCTCCACAGGACTGCTTGAGCGCCCCTGTGACGGGGCAGCCGGCTTCCCCCAGAGCGGGTCAGTGCCTGCCTCGGAAGTCACACTGTCATTTCTGCTATATCCTATTGGTTGCACACGGCAGCCCTGCTCATTGGGAGGGGACCACACGATGGTGTGAATACCAAGGCGGAGATTGTTGGGGGCTACCTGGAGGCCAGTAGATGCTTAGGATTTGAAGTTGTTTTGCTTTTGTTATTATTATCAGCGCTGAGCCTCCCCCTGACCTTATCAGGTCCTTATGAGTTAGTCCACTTTCCACCTTGGTCACTCTGCTCCAGCTCCACTGACACGTAGCTTCTCCTCCAACAAGACAACATGATTCCATCCCACAGGCCGCTGCATCTGCTGTTCCCTTGGCTTGGACCCCTCTGCCCCGAGATCATCCCGGGCACTGTTCAGTTCCAGAGTCACCTCCTTCCAGAGAGGCCTTCCCGCCCCATCCCTCTAAATGAGAGGCCTCCCTCTCCCCTCACTCTCATCACGATCATATGGCCCCGTTTAGCTTTCCTCGGAATTCTTGGAGCTCTCTGGAAGCATTTTGATTTGATAAAGAATTCCCTTCCTTGGTCTCTGTCAGTTTCTCTGCCTGGAACCTAGAAGTTCAATCCCATGAGAACAGAGATGCTGTGTGTCTTATTTCCTCCTACATCTGAACTCCTGGAGGGTGGGAGACACTCAAAAATATCCATAGAATGGACGGTGGAGCTTCCGTTTACAACGAGTAGAACAGTGTCCTCCACTGAGCACAGGTCAGTGAGAGAAGGAAGGAAATGGGAGCTAAAATAAAAGGCATGCTTTTATTCATTTGCTGCTTTCTCAAATATTTATTGGGGGAGCTGGGGACACAGCAGGGTCTGAATATACCCAGTCTGTGCACGCAGGTCGCTGGCAGAGCTGGGGCAGACAGACAAGTAAACTTATAAATATGTCATGTTTAATACACGTGATGTTCTGAAGGACAGGACAAAGTGCACACCTGCATGTAGGTGTGTGCGCCAGCGGTGTGTAGGCGAGTCTGTGTGCTTGTGTGTAAGGTGAGTGTGCGCGTGTGTGCACGCATGTTCATGTATGTGACCAGTTGAGGGTGTGGAATGGCTCCCTTGGGAAGTTATGTTTGAGCTGAAACCTGGAGGAGGAGAGGAGTTGCCGGTGACGGACGGCTTCAGACAGAGGATAGGCATTCCTGGCGGAGGGAACAGCTCATGCAAATACCCAGAGAGGCTAGTGGGTTACCTGAGGGCAACGGGGAGCCCTGCAAAGGTTCTCATGTTTTTTTGTTTGTTTGCTTTTTAGATTTTATTGTTTTGTTTTTGGAAAGTTTACACATGCATATGGTTAAAGAATAATTCAAAGTGTAAAATCGAGGTGGGGATAGCGCACCCCTTCCCAGGGGCAGTCACTTTCACTAGTGTCTTGTGTCCTTCCTGGAACAGTCTATGCCCAGACTAGCATACAATGTGTGTGTGTGTGTGTATATATATATATATATATGACATATATATGTAATAATATATTTATGATATATAATAGCTGCCATGTTTTAAAAATCACAAATGGTAGCATGCTATACACACTGCTCAGCACCGTATTTATTTCCTTTTAATATATATAATATATAACTGATGTTATATATCATATACTATATATTAATATACATTTCATATACATATATAAAGTATTAGTACATTATCTATTACACATTATTTGATAATATATGATATCTAGTACACACACACACACTCCTATTATTAACATGTACTTAAAAATGTTTTAAACACCTGACTATCAGATATATATATAATAAACACAGATTTACAGAAGTCGTTAAATTAGGGAACCAGCTGTTTCAGAGGAGAATTCAAGGAGCGGAGGTTATACGGTGATTCAGGAAAGGTGTGCCAAAAACATGTGCCAGGTGACATGCAAGATGGGTTCAAGTCCGACAAGGCCACAGAAAGGTAACCTCTGAGGGTAGCTTTCCTACCAGAGAGAAATCATTTGCAAGCAAACTTCTAGAAGCTGCCATTCACCTTGTCAGAGTGGACCCTCGTCAGTAGTGAATAGTAAACCGAGCAAAGGTACAGTCCCCTAGACAATGAAATAGTCCTCGGGTGCGTGTGTTGGACAAGGTTTCCAGGACGACCTGGAAATGACACCCTGTCATCTTTTTGTCTGCTTGTCATTTTTAGGATAATTTTTCTTAACTGTATACTAGAAGTCTTTTAAAATCAGTTCATAGAGAACAACCTTACACTGTCTAATGACTTTATAACAGCCCCTTGCACGCATGAGCCACAATCTATTTAACATAATTTCCTTAACTTATATTCTTTACTTATTACTCCCTTTGGCTGTATGTACAGGCTGCTTCCACATTTTGGTGATTATAAATACGCTGCATTAAAAATCCTGGTGTAAAGTCCATGCAAACATCTGCTTGTAGATGACAGCAGTGACCCCTCCCACGGCGGCCTGGCACTTACTGCGTGTCAGGTGAAACACGTCAGTGCATTTAACCCTCACACAACCTGAAGATATAAATGTTATTTTCATTCCCATTTGCCGACGAGGCAACTGACGCACTTGAAGACCGATTGCTGGGAGAAAGGAAGGATGGCCTTACTTTGCTGATGGTTTCCGGTTCGTTCCACTCCACCCGGCTCTCAGCCAGACACAGGACTGCCCGGTTCTCCACACCAAGGCCAGTCAGTGCTGGAGTCATCAAACCTCTTTTATCTTTGCCAACCTGATGGGTCAGACGTGGTCCTGGAAGATAATCCCTCACTGTCATTTTAACGTGACGCTCCCTCCGGGTGGCCAACCATCCTGGTTTGTCTGGGACTCTTGAGATTCGGGTGCTGAAAGTCCCACATCTCTAGAAAACCTCTCCAGCCCAGGCAGGACGGGACAGCTGGTTGTCCCACTCTCTGTGATTCTGTGTGAGGCCGAACACTTTTTCTGGGGTTGTAGGAAGGGAAGATCTTGGAGAGAGAAGTGACGGGATTGGATTTTTTTAAAGCATAGGGTAGGAATCAGAGCTTCCACTTAGGGTGTCCACAGCTCCAGCTCTTGCTTTACAGAGAGTCTCGGTGAGCCTTTGATGACCTTCAACAGAGGACCGTTTTATAGGTGGGGAAACTGAGGTAGAGAGATGAGATAATCGCCCAAGGTCACATACTTAAGAAGAGACTGAAGCAAGATTTGAACTTCAGCTGCCCATCATCACCTGGTAACTGGGGAGTGTTTGAGTGACCCCCCCTCTCTTGCAGGCCCACTGACCTGGGCCCCCAGGGCTCCCGAAGATCATGATGGCTTATATGAACCCAGGGCCCCACTATTCCGTCAACGCCTTGGCCCTAAGTGGCCCCAGTATGGATCTGATGCACCAGGCTGTGTCCTACCCGAGTGAGTACAGACCTCCTGCTGCCCCAGGCTGGCCCACCCTCCGGTCCCCTGCCCTCAGGAAGGTGGCCGCTTACAGTGGGATGTCACCAGCCCTATGTGTTCCCCTGCAAGGGCACAACAGTGTCCCCATGTCACTCAGGATGCAGGGGACACATATGGACAGTCATAGAAATTTAGGATACTGGTTCCCTATGGAGCAGAGGAGAGGGGAAATGAGAGGAATTTCCATCTGTCAGCGGTGCTTTATTGCCAAGAGCCGTGAGCCCTCGGTTTTTGTGCGTTATGTCCTTAGCTGTTTCCCTCTTCTCATTAAGCTGAACATTGTGGACCTGCCATGTCTATAGGCTGGAAATGGTCGAATATCCACAATGTCATGTTCCAGCTGAATGAGTCTCAGGGCTTAAGAGATTGTAGATGGGGTGAAAATCAAACCCATGCTTCCTTGCAGGGCTAAAGCCAGTTCTCCTTGGGTTGAGGCATGAGCCCCAAAATGACAGGCAAAGAGGGACCCTGTTCCCAGGGGGTCTAGCAGGCCTATGAGAATGAGATCTGGAAGGTCAGGGGAGAAGTGTACCCTTAGTCCCGGCAGACGAACACCCAGAAAGGGCTTCTCGGTGGCCCATACAACCTCGGGGCCTCCTACCAGCAGACAAAGAGAAGGGGAGGTCCAGGCCGTCTGAGGGTCTCCTCCTCCTGCCCCTCCACCCCAGGTGCCCCAAGAAAGCAGCGGCGGGAACGGACCACCTTCACGCGAAGCCAGTTGGAGGAGCTGGAGGCCCTGTTCACCAAGACCCAGTACCCGGATGTGTATGCCCGCGAGGAGGTGGCTCTGAAGATCAATCTGCCCGAGTCCAGGGTTCAGGTGGGGTGTTCTGGTCCCTGGGCCCATTCTGGCCCTTCCTGGGACCCGGAGTAAAGGGAGGAGAGAGAGGTCTCAGAGTAACAGCCAAAGTCGTGAGGGGCCCTCCCTAGCAAGCCCTCACCCCTGTCATTTCACTGGCCCTCCTCTCACTGTTCTTGCCCTTTCTTACTCCACTCCAGCCACACTGAGCACTGGCATTGCCTCTAACATGCCCATCAAGCACATTCCTGCCTCAGGACCTTTGCACTCTACCTGGACCGTTTGGTCCCTGTCACTTTGTTCAAGTCTTTCAACCAATCAAGTCACCTTGTCCAGCAGTGAGATTTATGCCACTGCCATTTGCAATTAAAGCCACCCCTACTGTACTGTGCTCCTTATGCTGCACAACTGGTTCTTCCATAGTATTTATCAGTTTCTAAAATACCATGTGATTTACTTTCTTACTGTTTATTTATAATCTACCTCAGCTAGAATGTCAACTCCACTGAGGTGTCCCCAAAGTAGTAGAAGATGGTTAATACATGCTTATTAACTGATTGGATAGATGGATGGGTGGATGACTAGAGGGATGACTGGATGGTTGAATGATGGATGGGTGGATGGATGGATGATGGACGAATAGAGGGATGGATCAATGTACGGGTGGATGAATAGAGGGAGGGATTGATGATGGATGGATGATGGATGGGTGGATGGATGAGTGGATGGACGAATAGAGGGATGGATGGGTGGATGATGGATGGGTGGATGGTTGGATGATAGATGGGTGGATAGATGGATGGATGGGTGGATGGGCAGATGGACGAATAGAGGGATGGACAGATGTATGGGTGGATTAATAGAGGGAGGGATTGATGATGGATGGATGATGGATGGGTGGATGGTTGGATGATGGATGGGTGGATGGATGGATAGATGGATGGATGGATGGATGGATGGGTGGATGATGGGTGGATGATGGATGGATGGATGGATGAATAGAGGGATGGATGGATGTATGGGTGGATGAATAGAGGGAGGGACTGATGATGGATGGATGATGGATGGGTGGATGTATGGATGGATGGATGGATGATGGATGGGTGGATGATGGATGGATGGATGGATGAATAGAGGGATGGATGGATGTATGGGTGGATGAATAGAGGGAGGGACTGATGATGGATGGATGATGGATGGGTGGATGTATGGATGTATGGATGGATGATGGATGGGTGGATGGATGGATGGATGGATGGATGGATGGGTGGATGGATGAGTGGATGGACGAATAGAGGGATGGATGGGTGGATGGTTGGATGATAGATGGGTGGATAGATGGATGGATGGGTGGATGGGTAGATGGACGAATAGAGGGATGGATAGATGTATGGGTGGATGAATAAAGGGAGGGATTGATGATGGATGGATGATGGATGGGTGGATGGTTGGATGATGGATGGATGGATGGGTGGACGGGTGGATGATGGATGGATGGATGGATGGATGGATGGAAGGATGGATGGATGGGTGGATGATGGATGGATGGATGGATGGAAGGATGGATGGATGGATGGATGGATGGATGGATGGGTGGATGGATGAGTGGATGGACAAATAGAGGGATGGATGGGTGGATGGTTGGATGATAGATGGGTGGATAGATGGATGGATGGGTGGGTGGATGGATGGATGGATGATGGATGGATGGATGGATGGATGGATGGGTGAATGGATGGATGGGTGGATGGATGGATGATGGATGGGTGGATGGATGAGTGGATGGACGAATAGAGGGATGGATGGATGTATGGGTGGATGAATAGAGGGAGGGATTGATGATGGATGGATGATGGATGGGTGGGTGGATGGTGGATGGAGTGCCCCATAACTGATTGCAAAGTGGAGAGGTGTGACTCTGGTGTGTCTTGCCAATAAGTACCGTCATCACTGGGCCCCTTGAGGGCTCTCCTGGGCTTTCCTCCCCACTTACCCACCCCAATCTCCCCTCTTACCTCTCAGGTTTGGTTCAAGAACCGCAGGGCTAAATGTCGACAGCAGAGGCAGCCCGCAGGGGCCCAAGCCAAGGCTCGTCCTGCCAAGAGGAAGGCGGGCACACCTCCAAGATCCTCCACAGACATCTGTCCAGAGCCCCTGGGCATCTCAGATTCCTACAGCCCCCCTTTACCCGGCCCCTCAGTCTCGCCCCCGGCAGCACTAGCCACAGTGTCCATTTGGAGTCCAGCCTCAGAGTCTCCTTTGCCTGAGGCCCAGCGGGCTGGGCTGGTGGCCTCAGGGCCTTCTCTGACCTCAGCGCCCTTTGCCATGACCTATGGCTCCACCTCTGCTTTCTGCTCTTCCCCCTCAGCCTACGGGCCCCCTGGCTCCTTCTTCAGTGGCCTGGACCCCTACCTTTCTCCCATGGTGCCCCAGCTGGGGGGCCCGGCTCTCAGCCCCCTCTCTGGCCCTTCCGTGGGACCCTCCCTGGCCCAGTCCCCCACCTCCCTGTCAGGCCAGAGCTATGGTACCTACAGCCCCCTGGACAGCCTGGAATTCAAGGACCCCACAGGCACCTGGAAATTCACCTACAACCCCATGGATCCTCTGGACTGCAAGGATCAGAGTGCCTGGAAGTTTCAGATCTTGTAGAAGACACTCTCCTCCATCTCTCTGCATCTCTTGTCTAAATCTTCCTTCCTGCGGGTTGTCTAAACCTGCGCTGGAACAGCATCCCTGAGAGAGTAAGAACCGCGAGCCATCCTTCCAAAGGTTGTGGCCTCTGAAGCTGCAAATGCAGCTACGCTCAGCAAAGCCCACCCCCTCCTGCCTGGAAGAGAAGCCTCTCCCTCTCCCGGGGCAGCCCAGCGGGTCTTGGGGATTCTCTCTCCACCCCAACACCATCTCACACGGATTCTAATCGGCATTTTAGATCATAAGTCCCAGACCCCAGACACCGGTGTTGAGAATTTGTCCTGAGATGAAATGAAACCAAAGTTGCAGTTGATCTGGGGTAATGTTCAGGTCGGCATCAACATGCCCTTGAGCGATCAGGGAGGGAGGCTCAACTCCTTACTTTCGATTTGGGAAGCTTTTTTAGCACATGGCTAGAGATCCTTCTAGAAGTTCCAAAGACAGACTTGAAGAAGCCCCATTGTGGAACCTTAGGCCAGCTGCACAGGTAAATTAAAACATCCATAGGGCAATTTTTAAGATGTCACAAATGTCAGGTTTATGCGGTACGGTTAAGGGGCTGTTTGATATATATGACTTTCTTGTGTTTCATCTTAGACACTTCATCATTCACCCATGCATTCATTTGGACATGGGAAATGGGCATATTTGGTAGGAGAATGGAAGGCAAATTCCCTTTTCATGTCTACTATTTTTTTCCCTTTGTTTAGGATTTTCTAAAGATGAATTTCACTCAAACATTGTCTGGGGTGCACCAGCTATAGCTCTGGGTATTTCCAAGAGAAGAGGTGGTGGACAGGCTTCCCACCTGTAAATATACGAGAAGCGCAGGGTAGGCAGAGCGCTGGATTTAGAGGAAACCTGCACTGAAGTGTACAATCCCTTTTTTAGATTGTTTGTTTCCAGTTTTGATTTCGGGATGGGACAACAGAGCTGGGCCAGAGGAAGTCTGTCTGGGCAGTACCAGATTCTTTCAACAAAACCTGAGCCACAGCAACAGAGACCAGCCTTGTGAGAATTTTAAGAGGATTCAGGCATTCTGGTACTCTTGGGAGCTTGCTGCTCTGGCCTCTGCCTCCTCACTGGGAATCTCCTTTCATTTTTGTCTGGGGGAAGCAGGAGCCATGCACTTTCCACTGGTGGGTATCACAAGGCCTGGGGGAAAGAAGGGGGATGGGAAGACCATGGCATGCTGGTGTATTTTAACAACGGCTTCTCCAAAGAGGAAAAGCTGCGATGTGTCGGGTTTGCCAATTTCTGTGGTGTAAATATTCCTGCTGAGTCTGATTTCAAGGCACCAATCCTATGTCACTGAAGGCGCAGTTGGGAAGTGATGCCATCTGTGCGCGTGAGCGGGCACAAGCTGGCCCTGGGCCCCAGTGTGGCAAGGGATGTCGGGAGCAAGGCCCCATGAGAGGTGGGGCTGGAGGCGTGAAATGACTTTCTGGGCCCAGGCTGGGAGAGGCCCACAGGACTTGGTCCCTCCAGGGGCACACGATCACAAGAGTCCACGAAGACGGTTCACTCAGCACACCTCCTGACCATCTGTCTGCCCTGACTCATGCTGGGTTCTGGGGCATTGGACCCCTAGGGCCTCAGAGTCCAGTGCAAGGCACAAAGGATAAACAGAGGAGGACGGCAGAAGCCGGGTGGGGGCTGGAGGAGGGACGAGGAGGAGGTGACCCCGTGCTCTGGATCCGTGCAGCTGGGAGCAGGTGACAGGGTCAGTTACTCAGGGGCAGAGACTCCCATGCTCTGCGCTGGAGGCTGGGGTCTCAGGGGTAAATGGGAACCTCTCCCGGCCCCACCAAGGACCCCCTTCACCCAGGAGGATTGTGTCCCAAGCAAACTATCCCAAGGCAGCTTGACGAGGGGGTCCTGACCCGGCCTGAAGGAGGGCGGTGGCGGGTAACAGGCGGGGGGCTGCCATCCGGGCCAGTAGGGGTGGGACTTGAGGAGACCCCAGCCCAGGTGATCCAGGACTTCTCTAGGAGCTGGATGGAATGAGCGATTGAATCTGTTTTGGGAGGTTCCAGCCTCCTCCTCCTGGGCTGGCCTCCCGAACTGGGGATGTCGGTGGGTCCACTTTCCATAGCCAGGAAGAACGGCAAGAGAAATGGGGACAGAAGGAAATGAGGCCCTTTATTCCGTGTCCCTTTCCTACTCGCCGGAACCCCAGGTCCCTGTCCTTGGCCACCCACAGAGCGAACACCATTAAAATGTTGCATCCAGCTGAAAGTCGGGGTGATTTTTTTACATTTTCATGGGGGCGGTAAGCTGGGCAGGTCGAAGCAGGGGTTGCTCTGTCCCTTCCCTCTGTCTCTGGGGGCGGGGGTCCCTGCACTTTCCCCTTCTGGTCACCCTCCTGTCCTGGCTATTTCCCTAGAGCCAATCACACAGGGACAAAGGCGCCAGCCAGCCCCCTGTGTGACCTTGCTGGGCCTCAAAGTCCCCCTCTCATCCCGCCTCAGTGACGCACGGCACTATATAAATTAGGCCTGAACAAATAGGAAGGAAAAGAAAAGAGAAAAATTTACAGAGCAGGTACTGTTGGGCAGACGCTGGGGAAATCCAGTCCTAACTCTTCATTCTCAAAACCACCCACCCAGAGATTTGCCATTCTTATCCCCACTTCACAGATGAGAAAATCGAGGCAAAGGGAGGCCAGGTGACTTGCCCAAGGTCCCACAACTAGGAGGAGGTAGAACTGGGATTCGTGTGCATTTCGTTGCACCCTCTTGGCACGTCCTCCTCCCAACATTTTTGGTCCCGCCTTTCCCTCCGGCTTCTCTCCTTCCCTGTCTCTTCCTTCCTCTGTCTAAACTCAGGTGTGAGTATTTCTCTCCTCTCTCCTCTCTCTCTCTCTCTCTCTCTCTCTCTTTCCTTCCTCTCTCCTGCCCCCCTTCCCCCCAGCCTGCGCCCCTCTGTCCCTGACTGGGACTAATTTAGCAAATGCTCCAATCTTCTTACGATGGTCCGGCCTCAGCAGAAGGGCAGGGGAATTAGCAGGGATTAGGTTCGGGCTCATGACCCACGGGGGCGGGGACTGGATGGAGAGGACGGAGTTTTAACTAACTGACGCCCTCTCTCTCCCTTCTCCCCTCCATGTGAAATCATGCCCGGGTCACACAATAAGATAAAATCACAGCTAAAACACCTTATTGAGCAATTGCAATGTGCTGGGCACTGCTAGGCAGCGTCCTTACGTTTTTCTTCCCATGACATGACAGCTGAGTGAGGCAGGGACACCCCCATCTCCCCTACTTTATAGATCAGGACGGGTTAAGTAACTTTCCCAAGGCAAACAGATCCGGATGCCAGGCTTCCCGGTGCCTCTAGCTTCCCGGTGTCCCCCAGAGGCTCGGGGACAGGACTGGACTGGCCCCGAGGCTCCCGGCGGGCAAGGGCTGCAGCCCCCCACCTCCTCTTCACAACTTCAGAGATGATGTTCTCAGCCCCCTCAGAGCACGGAGGAGATGGGGGGGGGATCTGGGGTCGCAGGTTGGGGAAACAGAGAGGAAAACGCACTCCAAGGAGGAAGAACAAAGCGTGGAGGAGATGAGGCTGGGAGAGAAGATGAGACAGATGCCTGCCGGGAGACTGTGCGTGGCGTCACTTCTTCCTCACGTATATGATGGAATTCACCAGTGAAGCAGGTGGGCTTGGAGTTCTTTGGTAGAAGGTCAATTGTGCACTCAATTTTATTTGTGCATTTACTTAATTTACATATTTTTAAATTTCTTCATATGTCAGTGTCAGAAAATTGTGTTTCTCAAGCAATTTGTCCATTGCTTCTAAGGTGTCAAATGTATATCGGCATACATTTGCTCATAGTCATTAAATGGTATACCAGATATCAAATAAGAAGACTATAAAGTCAACCATCCTTGACGTTAGAAATGAAAGAAGAAATAATAGAGATGAGAGCAGAAATTGATAAGATAAAATTCAACAGAAAAAAACAACAGATACAGCTGTTTTGTTAAAGACTAATAAATCAATAACCTCCAAAAACATTTGCCAAGAGAAAAAGAGAGAAATTACCAACATCAAAAATGAAAAAGAGGACATTACCAAAAATCCTTCATTAAAGATGTTAATGAACATAAGAGGTTATTATGAACAATTTTTCACCAAGAAACTTGAAGATGTAGATGACACATTCCTAGCAAAATACAACTTACCAAAGCAGGCACATACCATAGAAAATATGAATAGTCCTATTAAAGAAGAATAATCCATAATTTACAATTTTCACACAAAGAACACCCCATGCTCATTTGACTTTGCCAACAAATTCCACATAACAATCAAGAAAGAAATTATGTCAATCTTAGGCAAACTTCCAGAGAATTGAAAGAAAGAGGACAATTTTCCTTTTATTTCATGATGGCTGCATAACCTTGATATAAAAAACCTGGTGAGAACATTGAAGTAAAGGAAAATTATAGATCACAAATTTAGATATCAAAATCCCAGACAGAATATGATCAAAGCAAATCCAGCATAGATAAGGAAATGACAATATATTCTGCCCTGTTGAATTTTATTCCAGGAATGCAAGGATAGTTTCATATTCAAAAACCGAGGAATGTCATTTGCCACATTAATGGTATAATGAGATCCTATCATCTCAGGATATTCAGGGGAAGCATCTGATAAAACTTAAAATCCATTTTTGATGAAGAATAACAAGCTCTTAGAAACAAGGAAGAGAAGTGAATTCCAAGGTATCAGCAAAGGAACTGTATAGAAGACACGTTTAAAGTTGAAATGTTGACAGCTTTCCTCTGTTACTGGGAATGAGAGAGTCATACCACTTCTCTCCAACACTGTACTGAAGGTCTGTGCAATAAGGAACTACAGATGCAATCAGGAAAGAAAAGGAAACAAAGGCATGATGATTTAGAAAAAAAGAAAACTCTCATTATTTACAGGTGACATGACTGTTTAGGTTGAAAAACCCAACAGAATATACAAATGATCATTTCTAGTGAATACAAGAATTTCACAGTGTCACTGGGTACAAGTCAGCATAACAAAAACTGATTATTTTTGTATATTCTAGTCACAAACAACTAGGAAATGAGTTTTTTAAAAATAGGTACAATTTACAATAACATGAATTAGGGAAAGTGACAAATCTGTGGACGATCTCTTGGCAGAAAACTATAACACATAAAGATTAAAGTGGACTGTAATGAATGGAAAGGTGTTCAACTTCACTGGCCACCAGGAAAATATAAAATAAAGCCACATGATCTTCCGCTACAAACCCATTAGCATGACTAAAATAAAAGACAATGCTAAGTTTTAGTAACCATGCAGAGTCACTGGACATATAAAATGGCAAAATCACTTTGGAAATCTATTAAACATTATCTGCTAAATTTGAGCAGATGCTTCCTCTGTGGCTGGGAGATTCCACTTCTAAAAATATACCAACAGAAATGAACATGTGTGTATTATTGTTGTAATAACACAAAACTGGAACCAACTCAATGCATAAATTAATGGTGCTGATGCGTGAATGCATAAATTAATGGTGCTCTACTGTGTAATGGAAAACTACGCAGACATCAGAAGGCATAAGCAGAAAATGGCTACAGGCAACAGGGGTGGCTGTTGCAAACACTGATGAACGAAAAAAAGCAAACACAAAGGAGGACGTATTTGATGATTCTATGCATGTCAAGTTCAAAAGCACAGGCAAAACGAATCTGTGGTATCAGAAGACAGGAGAGCAGTTATCTTTGGTCAAAACTGGGAGCCGCCATAAAGGAACTTTGTATTGCTGGGAATATTCTATTTCTCACCCACTCTGGGAGGTGGACAGAGGTGTGTTCTCTTTGTGATAACTCGCTGATGTGTGCATTTTCTCAACCAATGTTCTAATTCAGCGAAACATTAAAAAAAAAAATGTTTCCATTCTATTGAGACTGAAACCCATTTCCTAGGACAAAAGGAAGCCCAGACAGGTGGGCTGCAGGGGAGACACTTTTCAGAGAAAGCCTAAAGCCCAGAGCAGTTGATGGAAAAGGGGTTCTTTCCCATGGAGTCCACTGAGACTCAGAGGAACTTGGGAAAAAGGAGCCTTATTCCCAGAAGGAAGAGAATGTGGTCCAGAGATCAGAAAAAAGGAACCAATTTTCTGAAAAGAGAATAGACCTTATTTCCTTTAATACACACTGGCTTCATTCATCACTGCACTGTGGGCGATGAAGCCATCATAATTCTCCCAGACCCACAGTCACTCTCCACTGGACCCCCTCTCCTAGCAGCTTTGCGTTCCCCTAGGCGCAGGCTATGCCTGTGGGTGTATCCACGTCCTCTTTGCAAGTTTCTACACTTCCTGGCCTCTCTGTTTTGCTCCTGAAGTTTGGCTCAAGAACCATCTGCTCTCAGAACCAGCTGGGATATAGATAGGCAAGGGGGTAAATAACGGGAAGATGTGTGGATGGATGGACGGACAGGATACATGATCATGCACTATACTGAATTTGGAAACTGGATACTTTGGGGACAGGAAGGAAAATATTGGAAGTCACAAACAGAGAATTTTTATGGAATGAAGAGTCACAAGATTCTTCTGCAGGTTAGAGAAGAGTGCCCTGTCCACCCAACTGGGAGGAGAGAGGGCGCAAGACAGACAGTCGGTCATGGCAGAGGGAGGGACTCAGGGTAGGGGTACAGCCAGCAAAGACCCCAGTTCACAATTACGACACACTTAGAACCGTGCCTGGCATAAAAGAAAAATGTGTAAATTTCTCTTTTTCTCTGCCTCCCTCTATCTTATATTTTTTGTTTGCTTCCATTTCTCACATCTGTCTCCCTGTCTCTGCGTCTTTCTGTCTGTTTCCTGGGAGTAACCTCAGGCTTCCTCCCAGGCCCCCCCCGAGATCTGGCCCCGGTTCACTCCTCTGTCCTTCCCTGTCTGCCTTCCCAGACTCTTCTTGTCCCTGAAACAAGCCAGACTCCAGGACGAAGGCCAGGGGTGGCGGACGAGGTGGGTGAGGGAAGCTGTCCGCTTACAGCCATGTTTCTCAAAGTGTGATCGCTATCATAATATAAATTGGTCAGGGGGTTGGAATTGCAGCCTGTAGATGCGGCCAGTGAATCTGTAACACCTGGTTACGTTGACGGAAAGTAACTGCCCTAGCGGGGGTGAGGAGTTAAGTAGTGTGTAACTGTTGAATCATTGTGTTGCGTACTTGAAACCAATATAAT